CAGCAGGAAAACACCGCTATGCTGGTAGCAGGAGATGGCAGCACCGTATAACGAACAGTAGTGCCTGGGCAGCCCGGGTGCCCCCCAAGAGCTGTGCTGCAGCGTTGGCCTGGTCCAGCATAACGGAGGCCTCCAGCCCGGGTGATCAGTGCTGGGGGTCAGCCACCAACCCCAGCCTCAGCGGTGGTCAGGCTTAGTAAATGATAGGGTGAGGGTATTTAAATGCCAGCCTGGGTCTGAAACCCTCTACACCAATTCTGGATAAAATTGCAGGTGCATTTATGACGCAAGACACCTCTGCGACCAGTGGTGTTGGTACAGCCAGAAGGGACTTTCTATCTGGTGCCTCTCAACTGGGGAAGTGCAGACTGGCTGCTGCAGCGTGATGATTTATGCCCTGGGGGCAAGAGAAACCACCTCTCCATTAAAACAAACTGCCTGGGATGCACATCCATCACTAACTTTTCCTGAATGTCTTGAGTGTCATAGCAGGGTGACCATGAATCCATCTTTGCAAGTGCAAATGCTTTAAGGACAATCGATATTTTATTTGAAGAGATTGTTCAGAGGAGATTTACTCACCTAATTTCCCCTCGTTGCCCATTCCCTGGTTAACCATACTAATCAGATTGCAGTGGATCTCTAGGGAGAAGACAAAAGAAGGGACCCTCTACAATCTCCTGACTGAGGATGAATATCCATAATGGATCTGGTGGGGAATCAGAGCCATGGAAGGAGCACACCTCTGCTGTCAGGAGTCAGCTCATCACCTCCCAGGGCTAGGCTCTGACACGCAGGGAGATTTGGCTGAGTAACCAATGCACATGTCTCTCCCTGTTGGCATGGGATGCTCTTGTAGTTCAACTGAATGCTTGCTGGGAAATCTCAAGCACCTGGGACTAGCTTCATGCTCGTTTTAACTGTTAACTATCACAAATGTATCTTAAATGTACAGGGTGCGTTTTCCATTGCATGTTTTATGCCTCATCTCAAGCTGCCAGTGGTTTGCAACTAACTGTTTCTGTCTTGACCAATTTGATCCCTACTGCACCACCAGATTTACCACCAGATCCCTGGACAGAAAAGCATGCTAGGGAGGCACTTTTCAGTGTCACTTTCCCCATGCACACACGTTTGGGCAGTTTCCAAGCATTTCATCAGAGCTCAGCTCAGCAGAGATGATCTAGGCAGGTTTGGTTTCTTCCAGTGCATCTCACAGAGAGAGCTACAAAGAAGAGTAAATGAAATTGTGATCAGATGCACAGACAGATCAACGCTGTATGCTGCTAACCAATATTTGCATGATGGAGATAGGTAGCATTTTCCTCCAACTGGGGTTTTCTGCAAAAAGACTTCTAAATGCAAGAAAGGATGTTTCTGTTCCTCTACAGTGTGCTGCTTTGCAACCAGCACCACTAACACGAGAGAAAGGGCAGGAAATTATAGGAACGAGGAGGAGAAATAAATTTTGCAAGTCACTGAGCAGCTCTTATGAAGTAGAGAGTGCCCTCAGATCCCTCTGGAGTTAACAGTAATCAGCATCTTAGAAGAGCATGCAATACTGTTTAGGAGGGAGCTCTTGAAGAACGACTCTACATACTCCTGCCCTAAATGTAGCTGTACTATGTGATCCCTGCAGAAATGGCAAAGTCTAATATTTCCAGTGGTGCTGAGCAGCTCTAGGGTTAGGGAGATAAGCCTGTGCCTCAGTGGCATTAATAGCAAAAGGCCCCTAGCTTTGGGAACCCGGGTTCCTTGCACTTCAGTTGTTACTGATCGCTCTTTGCTCAAGCGTATTGGTTTGGCTTTTCGCTCTGTATTCACCAACATCCTGGCAGCTGGGAATGGGTGGCTGGAGCACTGTTCTGCACAGGGTCCTGCATTGTCTCAATTACCCTTAATTGATTTATCTTCCTTCATTTACACCAGCTGGGTTATTGCTCCCCAGCAGCACCTGCTCTCTGAATCTGTTTTCATATAACTACATCTACTACTCAGCATCAGAATTACAGTTTCTACAGCTCCTTTTCCAGATCCCCTGAGGAAGGTGCTTTTCTCTGGAGGTCCAGTAGACTCGGCAGGACAATACTTGGGCACATGCTTAACATTTGAGCATGTAAATTCTCCATTGACTTTCATGGAGTGGTGACTTGCTTCCCTGCAAAGGCATCTCTTGGGCTAAGCTAGGGTACTCAGCACTTTTTGTGATCAGCCCTTAAAGGATAAGGATATATGATGTGTAGCAGCATGTTCAATATATGTTGCCTAGAAGATAGCTAAATCAATAAGGATCAGTGTGTTGCTGCTAGAGAATGTGTCTATATTAGTTGAAGTTTCACAACCTCAGCAGAATATTTGTAATGTAATAAAATATATGGAGGGGGAAGTGGCAAATCTCACTGTGAGTGTTTCCTAGATGGAGGAGTTTTTAATTAAAGTGACATTTCTGATAACCAAGTCACTGAAGAGATGTCTGGGCTGCTATGTTAGCAGGAGCCTCTGCTGGGTGGCTCAGTGGGGGAGTGTGATTGCAGACAGCCACCTGCTGAGGTCTTACCCACAGCTGGGATACTGCTTGCTCCGGTGGGACAAGAGACCCCCCTTCCCCGAGGGGCACCCCGGGGTGGCACCAGCTGCGGCTGCAGGCCCTC